GTCAGGGGTGCAATGGAATAGATGAGTGTCGAGGTAAAAGAAGCATGGTTGAGGGTTTCATAGCAGATTTATGAGCTGCATTGAGGGAAAGTTGGGGTAAACATTGGCATATTCCTGCAGGAATACAACATTGGCACATGGCTTTCACTTAACAGCTTAAAACCATTGCACCACAACCAGCCAGAAAGATTCTTGCGTAATGCCAACATGAAAATGTCAGTGATTGCCTCAGCAATGATAATAAACTCAGTGTAAATTCTAAACAGAACACTGCCAATGTCCCTATGTTTCTATTGATTGACCATCATGATGCATTGGGGCTGCGTGGAGCCATCTAGTGATCAGAAATGGGATCAAGGCACACATAACCAGGAGCAGAAACTGGCCCCTGTTTCCTGGGCAAACAAGATGGGCCAAAGGGCAGGTGGGTGGGGCATGCAACACCGCATACAACTGTTACCACCAACCCCCCCACTCCCTCCACTGCGTTCCTGTGTCACTAAACTGGCAAAAGCTAAGTGCAGTTGCCCAAGACATAAGCAGTTTTGTCTGCATCAACCAAGGACCTGCCTCACTGCTTTTTTTCCCCCCTGAAATACATCCCAGCTGCTTGGCCCAATCATCTGGTTACTTAAGTAGCCAAACTAGCAGTACATTTGAAAGAAATTTTAAAAATTGAATAAAGCAAAAAAAGAAAGAGACAAAACTTGCATTACTATCGCTTCTTTCGCAACCACCCCACCTCTCAAAACTGTCCTAAAGCCAATTAAACACATTTTTAAAGTGTAGTTATTGTTATAATGTAGGAAACAGCAGTCAATTTGTACACAGCAAGCTCCCACAAGCAGGCGGTGAGGTAACGACCAGGTAATCTGGCTTTTCAGTGATGTTTATTGAGGGATCAATATTGGCTAGAACACTGGGCAGATTTTCCCTGAATAGCTCTGAAACAGACAAGCCTCAGTGTAACATTACATCTAAAAGGTGGCACCTCCGACAGCACAGCGTTCCCTCAGCTCCGACTCCCCCCCGCCACCACCGACCCTCCGACAGCGCAACGCTCCCTCAGCACCAACCCCCCCAGACAGCACGGCGCTCCCTCAGTACCGACCCTTTCACAGCGCAGCTCTCCCTCTGCACTGACCCCCCCCAACAGTGCAGCTCTCCCTCCGCACTGAGCTCCCTCAGTGTTCTTGTCTCCAAAGTGGGATTTGAACTGACAACCTTGTGATTCAGGGACACCAGTGCTACCCACTGAGACACTGAAAGCTTGCTGAAAACGGTTTTGTTTAAACTCCGAGGCAGGAGCCAAAAAATCTTACCCAAACGTTAGCTGTCCTTCCAACTCATACAGGGGTCAGTGTCATTGGAACCTTTCTCAATCTCAGACACAACACTCGACATCACAGCGAGTGCAGGGAGGGGAAGGGAATTCTCAGGCGAAATACTTCAAAGTCGGGAGGTCGGAGCCAGGCCCATTAAGTGGGTTCGCGAGCTGAAATGTTGAGTTTCTGAGCTCCAACAGGACAATCGCCACAACAAGCTCTGACTGAGTTCTGGTATCTATAGCCCCACTAGCTCCTTGAAAGTTGCACCACAGGTAGACAGCGTGGTAAAGAAGGCACTTGGTGCACTTGCCTTCATTGATCAGACCATTGAGTATCAGAGTTGGGATGTTGTGTTGCAGCTTTACGGGACATTGGTGAGGCCACTTTTGGAATACCGCGTCCAATTCTGGTCCCCCTTCTATGGGAAGAATATTGTTAAATTGGAGAGGGTGCTGAAATGATTTACAAGAATGTTATCAGGAATGGAGGGTTTTAGTTACAAGGATAGTTTGCATTGGCTATCTTCACTGGAGCGTAGGAGCTTGAGGGGTGACTATTTAGAGGTTTATAAAATCACAAGGGGCATAGATAAGGTGAAAAGAAATGGTCTTTTCCTTAGGGTAGGGGAATTCAAAACTAAGGGGCATGTTTTTAAGGTGAGAGGAGAAAGATTTTAAAGGTATCCGAGAAGCAACTTTTTCACACAAAGGGTGGTGCATGTATGGAATGAGCTGCCAGAGGAAGTGGTAGATGTAGGTACAGTTACAACATTTGGACAAGGACATGAATTATAAAGGTTTAGAAGGATATAGACAAAATGCAGGCAAGTGGGATTAATTTAGCTTGAGGAAGCTGGTTGACATGGATGAGTTGGACCGAAGGGTCTGTTTCCGTGCTGTATGACTCTCTGACCCCGCAGTGCCCACACCCTGCACTCTCAGCCTTCAGTGAGGGGGACATGACAATGATGAAACCTTGAAATGGGGTGACATTTGGGAAGAGTTTGGGTCACCCTGCTCTCAGGTCTTGTTGGGAACAACCTTGCACATCAGTCCTTTCAGCATCAGATGCTGTGTTACTGTCGCGGTAGGGGGGAAGATTCATGCATTGGGCATTAGATTGCTGGAGGGTTACGTTGAGGCCCCTTTGTAAAGGTGCCTCTCCAGCCGCAACTTTGAGTTGGTTTAGAGAACAGCTTCCACCCATCGCATTTCCCACACCAATGCAGGAACACCCAAGATGCTGCTGCATTGGTGTGAATGCCCATCACTGCACGTTTAAATGCCATCCTCAGCGGGTACAGGATGGAACCAGGGGCGATGGATGTCAGTGTTCACTTTAACGCCAGAGAGGGACCAAGGAAACGTGACTTAAACAATCACAGCTTCCTGAAAAGGTCACAAACAGCCAGCCTCGGCAGGTTTGGTTCTGCAGTGTATCGGCTGTGGTGCAGTTGGTAGCACTGACTCACCAAGTTCTGGGTTCAATCCCACTCTGGGGCTCGAATGCAAAATTTCAGGCTGAAACCCCAGCGTAGTATTGAGGGAGTGTCGTGCTGCCAGAGGCATGTCTTCTGCACGAGATGTTAAAGCGAGGACCCATTTGCCCTCTAAAATGGATGTAAAACAAAAAATCCCACTGCACTATTACGAGGAAAAGCCAGGCAGATATCCATGGTACAAATACAGAGAATGCTGGAGAAACAATTGATGAACAATGAAGAGGACAATGTCGAGAAACTCAGCAGATCTGGCAGCATCTGTGGAGAGAGAAACAACAAAGTTAACGTTTCAATTTCTGTGTGACTCTTCTCTGGAACTCAGGATTTTGGGCTCTGAAGAAGCATCATATTGGGTTTAAAATGTTAACTCTGTTTCTCTCTCCACACATGCTGCCAGACCTGCTGAGTTTCTCCAAAATTCTCTATATTTGTTTCAGATTTCCAGCATCTGTGATAATTCCTTTTATTTGAGATATCCCTGGTGTCTTAATCGATATTTATTCCTCGAATCACTATCATACAAACACATTATTACATTGCTGTGTGTGGGACCCTGCTATGCATAAATTAGTGCTGCGTGTTCTTCATTATAAGTGTCCATACTTCTCTGCCAGTTAGAGCTTCGCTGTACTGTTCTGGATGCCACACTTTGGGAAGAATGTGATCCACTGCAGGGGGGAGTGGGGTGGGGGAAGAGAGAGAGAGAGAGATACAGATACAGAGAGAGAGATACAGACAGAGAGAGAGAGAGATAGAGATAGAGAGAGATAGAGATAGAGAGAGATAGAGA